GGTCGACGGCTTGCTTGACGTTCACGAACAAGCTTCGTTCCAACAGACGGTTTGAAAGTCGCAAGATGGACTCTTCGTAGGCGTACGCGGAAAAGATGGACGCCAGCACCGAGCGCAGATCTGCGAGATTGGGGGACGATGCAGCGGCTCGTGTCAGAAAGGCACGCAGAATTCGAAGAAATGACAGGTTGTTCCCTGCGTTGGAAAGGAGTCGGCCACCAGCCTGGGCTCCTGCGGGACTTGAAGTCGTCGTCAGGAGAGCCGTGAAAGTATGCTGCACCAAAGATCGAAGCAGTGTCAAGAGCTTCTCTTTGTCTAAGCTGTCCATAGCGCTTGCCTTCTCCGAAACGCCGTTCTGGGTGGTTTTCGACGACTCGATGGTGGACGAGATTGATCGCGTGGTCTGCACTGCCGCGTCGATGAGACTGAGCCAAAGCTCCTCATCTGGCGAGAGAACTTCTGACGTGTTTTTTGACTTTCGTTGTTGGACACCGTTTGCCTTCTTCGATGACTTGGTCTGGCCCTGGCAAAGCCAAATGCCCACGTGAACATATTTTTGCAACGCTCGCAAAGTCTCTTCGGCTCCTGATTGCAAGTCATTTGAACTCTGCTGTTGAGCGCCAGACAAGATACCTTGCAAGGCCGATTCAAGGGTACCGAGGTGCTTCACAAGCCTGTCCATGGCATCCTTGACTTGGCCTTCTCGAGCCATGAGCACGACCGCAGCGTCAATCACGCCGGTTTCCTCCATGGCAGGCAGCAAGACATCCAACCTGAGGTTGACGGATTGAACCAGGCCGATGTAATCCGACACATGTGCGGAATCGTACTTGCACATGAGCTGGACGTAGCGCTCGATGAGGACTCGGTCTGGGTTCAATGGGGTCTCGATGTCTCGCTTTTCGGGCTCGAGCAACGTCCGCAGGTAAAAGAACTGCAGCTCGGGTGCGTCTTCGGCAGAATCCAGGATGTGTTGGTGAACGTCCACAGACTGAGCTGCCAAGACTCTCGCCGCTTCGACGGGGTTAATTCCGAGGAGTTCCCTGGCGTTGTTCTTGACTGCTTCGAGGACTTCTTGCACCTGTCGGCGATTCAGACCACTGTGTGGCCGAAGACAGTCCCCGAGGCATTCAAAGACGGCATCCCGGTCAGCGGGGTCTTCGAAGTACGTCTGGACAAGCTTGTCATACTGTTTGTCAACCTTGTATTGCCTCTTCAATATCCGATAGAAGCCCGCTTTCTTGAACATAGGAATCAGCGTGGTAACATCGGGAGGCTGGTATATCGAGAGCAGGTATTCGGCACTTAGTTGGGCGTCTTCGGCTAGGTCAGCTCCAGGGTAATTGCAAAGCCCGGTCAAGACCTTCGTAAGCGTCGAGCCCGGGAAGAGCAAGTATTGAGGAAATTTGGGGAGGTTGCGAGCGATGAACATATCGAGGTAAATGGTGTCCTCCGATGCGAAGTCTGCTGGGTTCATAATCTCCAACAAGATAGAGACAATGTACTGACGATCGACCGTGAGCCCGAATATCTGCTCTTCAGGGACATCGCCCCTAATGCCGCCGTTAACTTGCTTTTCAGGAGAGTCGTTCAAGAATGAATCTTCAAAGGCTTCGTTTATAGCACTAAGGAAGCTTGGGGCATCGAACTTCAGGATCAACCTGAGGTATGGGAACGACGGCTCAGTGTGCTGATCTGGCCGTGTGAGAAACCGCCGAGTGCTGCCCTTGGGCCACGTGACGCTATTTCCTGAGAATAGAAACCAGTAAATCTCAGCCTTGGCTTTGGAGGCAACGGCGGTGTCCATGGCCTCCCCGGTGGGGTATACTCTGCCCGTCAACGTGTATGAGAGATAGGGGAACATCTTCAAGGCGTTAACGCCGTAAATCTCGTCATCCATGTTCCCGGAAGACATGTAGTCGCCGTTGCTCATAAGCGGCACAAGCAAGGTTAGTAGGTCGATCAATGGTGTAATGTAATCGTTCAAGGCCTGGTTCCAGACATAAATCAAGGCGTCGTAAAGGCTGTGCTGCTTGCACAGAAGAGTAATCTGGTCCAAATCTAGGGTCATAGTGTCCATGTGGACAATCATCTCCTCAAGGCGACTCTCCCAACCTTTGGTGACGTAGTGGGTAACTGTGGCCTTGACAATGGTTGGCGGCACAACCGTGATGTTCTTTTCCAGAATGTAAGGCTCCATGGTCTCGAGAAAAATGCCTTCCACGCTGGCGTCTTCATACCATTCGTACATTTCATCGAAGAGGAAGTCAACGTCGCCGACGCTGTGGCAGGCCGTGAAACAAGTCTCAGCCAACTCTCGAAGGTGGGCGTCGTCCGCTGCAGCTCGGTCTTTTTGCCGCTGGGTGAAGGCATATTTGAGAGAAGCTCGCATAATCTCCATGAGCTTGTCTCGCACCATCGAGTGGCGCAACTCGGTATCTTCGGGTAGGCCAATGGTGAGTTTATCGGCGTCACCTGTGTAGTATGATGTTCCAAGCTGAATAGCACCAACGTAATCACCATTTTCCATCAGAGCAATAATGCGATCAGCCCAGTTCGAAAGCGATCCAATCGAAACATCGTTGAAACCGAGCAGGAAGATTTTGCCCTTGTAGGTTTTGAAGCTCATGTAGAAAGCGTCGGCCACAACACCATGCATCGATGTGTCGTCCTCGTCGAGCTGCTCGACCAATGTGTGTAACTGCTTAGAGAACAGGTCGGAGTGGTAAATGAACTTATTGATGAGATCAAAACCCTCGGTCATTCGCATACTGCGGTCTTCAACGACGATTAGGCGCTGAGTAATGGTCAAAACTGTGAGAACAGAACGGCTTAGCCACTGGACCGCAACAATGGCTTCTTCACACTTCCACCGACTCCGGGCCTTGAACTTGAGCGTGGGCGGCTTGTCCTTGTTCTCTGCTGGTATCTCGTCTACGTCCAGAACGGTCAGGACGTTTGACCAGCAGTACACCAATTTGACTTTGGAGATGTCGCTGCCTGTAACGGGATCTGGAACCTTAAGCTTCACCGCAGGAAACCACGCCAGGCAGCCGGTCATCGCACTGTGATGGGCGACGTCTTTTGGTCTGGCCGATTTATGTTGTGTCTGGGCGACGGGTGTTGTAGAAACGATAACCAACAGATATGGTGTAAGCATGGCCGTCAGACCGAGGGTATCCGTGGCGCGTTCGGTATTACCCAAAGGACACGGACTAAATGCCAGTACAGTACTGGGCTTGAGAGGCTTTCCGGCAGGAGGCGCCGCGTTCGGGTACCGTCCGAGTATCCTCGTTGTCTTTACAGTTCGGCCGAGAGAGCCAGTGCCTCTAGTTGCCAGATGGGAGAAGGCCATGCCACGATCATCCGCTGACACAAGCGCAGTGTGCCTGGTGCCCAGAAATCCAAGATGGGTGACCGCGACACCAGGGAGATGGCCATCCATGGTCCGGTTCTCTAGTTGCGACTGGTCTAGGTGCGGAATGGACAGGAACGGCCTGGACGCTCGATTCGTCTCCCACGTAAAGATGCTTCCATTCGCATGGCCCCCAGCAATGGTGGTGTGATCTGCCGACACAGCGATTGCCGTAATGGCGCCCGACTCGACGGCTTTGGTCCCGGGCCCGATGATGGTCTTCAAGACCTGGTTGTAATCAAACATTAGTATTATTCCCTTGCTCGTCCCCAACACAATCGAGGCGGAGACGGCGATGCAGGTCGGAGCGCCGAAGTTGCGCTTGCCGGCCTCGGAGAAGGCCTGGCCGTTAAGTTTCTTCAATCTCGTCCATCGAACAACTTCCCACGGCGGCGAAGGGGTATCGGTATCTTCGCGGTCGAGCAGTCCTGAGCTCAGGGAAGCGGAACGGCTATGGCCGGTGAGAAAAGCAGGTGAGGAGGATCGCGGACTACTGATGAAGCTGGCGGAGGAGATACGGGATTGGAATCGGCGATCGAAAGGACGGAATGACGGGGTTGGACTGCTGAGGCCTGGTCGAGAAGCGACGGATGGGAGGACACTGCTGCTTGGAGAGGAGATCACGGAGCCCTGAGGTTTGTGGTTAGCTGGTGCAGCCTGAAGCTGATAGGGCTACTTGCCTGAACAGACGGGGAATCGTCGGGCAGAGACATGAGGGAATCGATGGGACTTCCCACGCGCTTCGGCGCCGCATCCACTGATCCCTCCTCAGACGCATCGTCGGCTTGGTCTCGTAATATTTGCCGATACCGATTTGATATAATGCCGTTCTCAATTGCTGGAGAGGCATCAGAGGCCTCTCTTTCTTCATCGTCCAGAAGGCCGACGATGCCGTCCTCCTCCCCCTCGGCCTTTACCATCCCTCCATCGCTGGGAGCTTGTACGTCCGTGGAGGACCGGTCGTCTGGATCTGCCATTTTGTCTCCAGGTCCATCATCTCTCTCCGTCGGTGGTGGGGTCATCAATGGCGGTTCATCAAGCACATGTCTTCCGTCGGGCCAGAGTTCGGTTTGGGTTCAGAAGCTAGGCCAGTGCTCTCAGCAGGGAGGGAGAGCGAAAGGGCCTGACTCGATCGGAAACAGCAGCTGGAGGATGATAGAAGCTGGCCAAATGAGGCGAGGACCCTTTCGAAACCTGATTCTGCTTTTCAAGCTCCTATCAGACGAGGAGAAGCTGACTTGTCAATGGATGATCAGTTGCACTTAGTAGGAGCGCATTACGCAGTTGGACGCGCACAGCCCACACATCAAGTTCCGGGTTCCAGGTTCCAGCCACCCAGAGCTCTACGACGGACCGCGGTTTCTCCGGCGGGCCCGACAGCGCCTAGCAACGTCGCAGTGACCTCTGATCGTCACGGCGCAAGCCCGGTGGAGCTTTCCTTTAGCACTTACATCACCTTACAGCGCTGGTCACACTCTTTAATGCGACCAATCTCCACACGCGTCGCGAGTTGTCAGATCAACATATCTCGAATTCAAACTGAACACCACCGCTCCACCACCCGGCCAACATCGCAGCATTCACTATGTCTTCCATTGGGCCCCAGCTGCCACCTCATCTCACCAAGAGGAAGCGCAACTCAGACGACGACAGCGCCGACTCACCGCCAACGAAGCAGACTCGAAACACCGACGAGATCGATATCGACGACAGCTCCGATGACGATGGTTTTGGACCTAGTGTGCCTGGCGCATCAGTCAAGGAACCTGCGCCTACCGTTAAACCTGCCGTTGGTCCAACAATGCCTCCCTCCAGCACAACGAATACAAATGAGATACCTCTCGACGGCTCTGATTCAGAAGACGGCTACGGCCCATCCGCTCCTCGCGCGGCATCACCGAATACTTCCAAGTCCCAGCCCTCAATAGGTCCTACTCTGCCTCCGAAACAGCCTATAGGACCCACGCTCCCCCCAGCGGCTCACCAGGGCGGGAACGACGACTCTTCGTCAGATTCGGAGGATGACTACGGTCCTGCTCTTCCCTCTTCAACAACCTCTGCTCAACGAGCACAAGCTGCCGCAGTAGCAGCAGCCGCGGCGGCGGCCTCGGGCCCTGCCGCACCTCAGCGCGATGACTGGATGCTCGCACCACCGACACAATCTGGTTATCAAGAGCGCGACCCGACCAAGCTGAAGAATCGCAAATTCGCCAGCGGCAAATCGTCATCGGCTGCGGGCGGCAGCGGTGGGGGTATCAGCAGCATCTGGACAGAGACGCCAGAACAGAAGCGCAAGCGACTCGAAGATGCTGTGCTAGGTCGTGGAGGGGAAGTCGGCGGAGCGGAGCAGCAGAAACCGCGTCGTACTAGAGAAGAAGAGGAACGGGATAGGCGCATCAGCGAGAACATCGCAGCAACCCGGGGGAAGAGTATGTATGATGAGCATCAGACAGACAAGAAGAGTGGCGCCAAGGTTGGAAAGGACGGCGAAGAGGAGGATGACCCTAGCAAGAGGGCATTTGATAGAGAAAAGGATATGGCATTGGGCGGCAAGATCGGTACAGCCCAGCGCAGGGAGTTGCTCAACCGTGCCAAAGATTTTGGTGGCCGATTCCAAAAGGGATCATATCTTTGACGAACGCAAAAGGGCCGCTTAGGCAGGAGCAGGTGGGGGCAACCAAGTTAACCCAACCACACATTTTCACAGAAGAAGCACAAAGCCATCAAACGGAGTTTTTTGTGAACATTGTCAATTGTCATTATTCCATGTTGAGTGATGCCTATGTCGCCGCAACTCCGCCGCTCTCCTCAGAATTCAGAGGATACAAACCAAGCCAAATCAGTCCGCCCTGACTGTAATGCAACTCCCTTCTGCCACCTGTTGCGGCAGCCAAACCTTCTTTCCCCTTTTACTCCTTGGGGCTATTCCTCCGAACACACGTTATATGTAAAGGTGGGTATGAAAAGCGGTGTCGTGAGCGTGTATAGATGCGGTCACATCGCAGTCTATGCTGAGATCTGCAAATTGGTCTCGAGGGTATGATGTACAAGAGTAGCACAACGGAAAAAGATCAAAGTCGCTTTTTTCGGACGACTTTTGTCGCTGATGTGTAATCACCGCGCGTCCGTAGTCGTGGCGGTAGCATTTTGAGTACCAGCTTCGAGCTGAGACGGGGTAACGTTCGCACCAGACGCGGTGGGAGAGCCGCCCTGCTGCTGATCCCCTCGTCTGAGAGGATTGCGGAATGCGGGCATGCGGAAGCTGGAGAGCAGGCCGCGGGATTCTTGGTTCTCTGCCACTGGGGGTGACTGAGGAGGGTTAGGACTGGGATTCGTCGCAGTCTGCTGGCGAGCACGTCGACGGCGGTTGGCGCGGTCATTGTTCTGGCGATTGCCTCTGTTGCGACCACCAAATCCCAGGCGCGAGCCGCTGAGGTTATACCAGGCGGCAGGAGGAGCATTAGGCATGTTCGTGCGAGATGCGGTGCGTGCCATGTCGCCGTTAGCGTTGGCGTCACCCTCGGGAGCAGGACGAGGCTTCGGGGTGTAGTAATCGGCCTTGCAAAGAGGGCAGCAGGCACGGCGGCTTGTGAGCCAGGGGTCGACGCAGACAGCATGGAAAGCGTGACCGCAAGTAAGTCCACGGATGTCATCATCGTCCTCCAATGTGTCGATACAAATGGCACAAGTATCACCGCTCGTGGCCATCAGTTCAGGAGGCAGAGCAGCGTTGATGTGCTCATCGTCCTCCTCGTCATCCTCACTATGGACACGCTGGAGAGGAGTAGCAGAAGTCGGAGACTGCACAGGGGCACCAGTAGCGTCAGCAGTCGCGGTCGAGTTATCGCCTTCCTTTTTGGCCGCATCCTCAGATTGCTTCTCGGACGTGGTTGCCTTGTTACCGGTACTGGTGGCAGGGCGTTCCTCGGTCGAATCCCTCTCCTTTGAGGGCAACTCGGGAACAATGCCATCGACGGAACGCAAACTGTTTGCGCGACTCGGCGGGGCGGAGACGCCGCCGGCCGTAGGTAGACCCTCTCTGGCACGTTCGGAAACCCATGCCTTGTACTTCATCATGGGAAACTTGTCGTTCACCTCATCCATCGTCATTAACTTCTTCTCACGGCGGCGACGGTGCGGGCGAGGCATGTTCTCCAGATTAATGGGCTCTCCATCCTCGTTCAGACGCATGGCGCGGTTGCGAGCGTTGTAGCGGAAGCAGTACTTGACACCAACGATAATCCTGAAGCAGATGTTAGATACTGATGACCCCGGTAGGAAGCCAAAGGAGCATAGGGCTCACCAGAGGTTAGTGAATACAACGCCGAAACCGAGAGCCACGAAGAAGAGTAGAGGCGAGCTCGTGGAGCCACCGCCACCTCCCCCTCCGTTTCCTCCATTGCCGCCAGCGGGGGTTGTTGACTGAGGGTCACTTGATGTAGTCGGGGTGATGGAAGAGGGATCGAGTGAGGTCGTCGAGGGTGCGGCAGAGGAGGCTGCAGATGACGGGAGGATAGAAGTCGGGGTGTCCGACGATACTGCCTGCCGCACTACAAAGCGCGAGACCTCGACAAGGACTTGATTGATGACTGCCATGATGACGGATAAAATTGATCGGTTCGAAATCGAGAGGCGGAGTCGTCAAGAAGAGCGCTCGCACACCAGCGGATGGTGATGTCGGAAAATAATCACGGTCGGAGGAAAGGCGAGGGCATCGATGAATTGATTGATTGACTGTTGCGGGAAGGCAAGAGCCTAGAGGTGAAACGCGGAATCCGAAAACAGCGTCTCGTGACGGAAATGGTCGACCTGAACCCTCGATCGCATGCGGCCTGCAATCAACGCAAGTCGCAGGGAAAAAAAAAAAAGAAAAAAACCTCGGGGAGAGGGTATGGCAGTGAGTCGATATCCCAATCCACTCAAGCCGTGTTGCACAGCGGTCGCGGTGAGCAGAGGGAAATTGAAACGAGAGAAAACTCACGACTCAAAGTCGGATGGGGGAGGTTGAGAGTTGACAGAGGCAGGCGGGAAGAGTGCGGAGAGTGGGAGAGTGCAGGTGGAGTGGGATAAGTATGGAACGGTACTGTGGGACGCTCACTCTCTGACGGACAGGACAGTAACACAGCCCCCCGGTCGGGTCGACGTAGGAAAAATAAAAGTGGGAATGCGAGGCGGCGGGCGGGTAAAGAGCGTCGTGAGTGTGAGGGATGAGCGACGCCGACGGGCAAGGGGAGTGAGTGCGAGGAGCAGGAAGGACCCCCCCGGACACCCAGACACCACACACACGCTCTCTCACACACACCTTCACTGAGGGGGACACCCCCCGGTACACCACCTAGACCGGAAAGAGCAAGCCAACACACTGCGGGCTCTTTTTGGTTTCTTGTTGTGTTTTTCCCCGGGGCTGGCTTCCGTTTGCCTTCTCGGCCAAGCGGGAGGAAGGCTACGAGGGAATTGCATTCAGTTGTTGTCTTCACGCTATCGTAACAGATACTTAAATTCCTTACTGAGTCGAGGATGAGAAGGAAGAAGATGACGGGGAAGAGCGAAGAGGAGACTGGGCATTGCCTGCACTGGACTGGTGCTGCAAGGAGGTGGAGGGGGAGCTGGGAAGGCAGGAGTGGAGACCTGGGGCCTCTTTCCCGCAAAATGCAGGCCGGGCGAGCGAGGTTGAAGGCGACCCGTGTTGGCTGCACTGTGCTACTGCGATCCCTCAGACAATTGAACAATTAACATTTCAATTTGCGCACCAGTGCACCACCACTACACTACGTACCACCACCACCTCTGCTTGTTGCTTGCACCTCCCATCTCACCTCTCGCACCTTGTTGCCGCGCACCCTGCCACAGCTGAGAGCCTGAGTGTGAGAGAGCTGAGGCCAGAGAAGGGTGCCATGAACACCGGACGGTATCACTGCCTCTCGAGAGAGTACGTCGCAAGTCCCCTTCTCCCCTTCCCTTCCGCTGTGACCTGCAATTTGCAATTTGCAATTTGCGAATCACAATGCCGTGGTCTGGATGATTTAACAGCCTTATTGATTTGATTAGCTGACCTCTCCAGCGTGAGTACAGACACTGAGCGACCAACAATTCTCTCAAACCCCAAGCGACCTGACATGGGCTCAACTCCAGAGAGTCCGGGCGCCAGTCAGGCAAGTCAAGCACTTGGACCCAAGCCCCCGTCAATCACTTTTCCAGTCCACGGGATAGCCGAACTAGTCTTGTTCGGGAAAGATAACGGCACGCTAGGCACATTATGAGTGGTGGGACGGGCTCTCGAGCAGGCCACCATCCCCCTTCAAGCTTAGCATCAAGACTGCTAAAGTGTTCACGTTGTCGAGTGGGTAGCTTGCTTCCAAGTTCCAGCAGGCATCGGGCCCTTGGCTGGGGAACCAAGAGAGAGAGGCGGGGGAACCACACAACAGGACTGAGAATGCAGTGGAGGGCCTTGCAGCCGCTGAGAGCAGGGGTTCACCATCGAGCTGACTGCTATTTCTACCGATACTACGCCTTAGCGGTAGCCAACACCTGTTCGCTGGAAAGGAAGGTTGGCCTGGTCTTGTCACCATGCTACTTTTTGCATGGCCATCTCACATCTCAACGTCTTCTGAATGGCATCACAACTGCATCCTTTTTCCACCTGCCTTCTCCTTAAACCTCTAGCAAGGCACTCTAGCTCTTCAACCGTTCTCGGGCTGACCGTTTTCCCTTTGTCGTCATATTCCCGCTTCAGAGGCTGATACCGCCAGGAATCAAGGGGTTTCCATGTTACGACCCCTATCCCAGAGGAGATATCACCAGGGGCCAACTTGATACAAAGTCTCCCAATCAAGGTACGCGTTCCTGCATCGCACCGCCATGGGCTTCTGAGAAATGGGCACGCGCTTCGTCGCCCGGAGCGCCTGAGATTCCAAAAACTACGTTCGCCCGCACGATTTACACCCCGGCCGAGAGGTCTTTCCATGCCGATATAATGGGCCGCATATGGTATCCGTGCCATCGCGCGCCGCCCAGTCTACGGCCGAGCATTCACATTCCATATTTCCGTCTTGCAATCTCAATCAGTGGCCAAGTATCGAATTCCACAGATTGCGGTAAACAGATTTGTGTGTTCACTCGAACAAAGGCCTTTGTTCTTCGCCCTTGCCGTCCGCCTTCGCCCCCGACCTAAGCACGGCAGTCAGCCACTCAAACTTGGTCCTTACCGTCACCGCCCACCGCCAACCGCCCCGGCGCCCCAGTCCGACACTTTGGTGATCCCCAAACCCCAAAGAACGAGGTAAAGGTTGGGGTTGCGGCGGCTGATGGAAGAGGCCGCGACACCATGCAGTAGCATCCAGTCCGAGAAGTGAAGAAGCAACTTCAACACCCTAGCGCGCGTTCGTCAGAAAGAAAAACGGCTGGAGTCTAGTGCGTCGAACGAGAATCTGAACGGTTCGGTGTTTCGTCATTCGCGACTTGCCCGCCCAAAATCACCGCGTGTACGCCGCGCTGATTGCTTTCCGAAGATCATGCCGCATGGAACCGCTTTCCAGGGAGTATCACGATAGGCAGGGCCTGGAATCAAAATGGCACGTTGGCGACTTGCTCTCATCCTCCGCCGCCATCAACGAAACCCCTGCTGGCTGGCACAGG